AATGGCGCTCGTGCATCCAAGCTATTACCTTCAATGCATAGCCTTCCTTTTCCACCCCCCTCCCCGCTTGACAACCCGCTGACAGTGCTGGATTTATGCAGTAATTTACCAGCTAGCGCGTGCATGCGCAGCTAATGATGATGATGATGATGATAAGCACGCGTAATCTAGCTTTAGTATCGACAGCCAACCGACCTGGAAGGTATTACGTCGCTCTCAAGATAGCTCAAGTGGTTAGAGCGCGAATTTACTGACCGGAAGGTCCGTGGTGCGAACCCGACCTCTGCCTCTCGACTTCCCCTGTTTAGGCTTGGGCAACCTGGCAGTATCCCAGCCTTCGTGCTTCCTTCGGGTAGCATGGCAGCTAGGCACCGAAAAGATGTTTCAGTTGAACTCTCAAGAACAACTCGGCTTGTGCGCCACAAAACGGATATAGCCTGTCAGTCAGGCGCAAGCGTGACGACGACTCTTGTTGAGAACAGCGGGCACCGGAAGTCTACACGGTCAAGTTTATTCGCATTATGCTGGGTGGCTGTGCGTGTCGGCGGTCAATGTTCTTCGGAAACAGGTGGATACAATCAGCGCAGGCCAATTAGGTTACCAAGATTGCAGTACTTCCCCAATCCCCACAAGGGAGCCCCATGAGCCTCTCTGTACTTGTTGGAGCTGGTGTAGACTCACCGAATGTACCATTTTGTTCATTGTCAAAGGTAATCGGTACGATGAAACCAAATGGCGGTTTGCTCAGTCTGGAGCTACTGGACTCCTAGCCCACCCAGACTGACGTCCTGGTTGCTCAGTCGCTACCACGAGTGGGTGGTTTGGTGATCCTTTTATAGCCGTTAATGCTGCTGCTCCTGATGACGATGATGATGATGTTGATGTTCACTCATCTTCACCCTTTGGCATACAGACAATGCTAAGACAACGTTCGAATTAGCCGTCCTAATTTGGCGAAATGTGGTTAGTTCTGACCGCAACACAAGTCAAGCAACGAACGGATAGCATGTGTGAGAACTTTCATTGTTGCGCATCTTTCGATAGAGATGTTCAGGTTCCTTTACGTTGCATCACGGGAAACCTAGTAATCGGATGTCCTCGGTTGGAAACAGCTCGTATTTGAGACTTTGTGGCAAAGGTCAACGTGTTTCTATTCTGTTATCCTGAAATTGTTTGAAACTACATTGAATCTTAGACAAGGATTTGGTGTGTCGCGGCCGTGTTAGTCTTTATGGACTGTATGCATCTTTGACGATTCCTTTGATGCGCAAGTGTACCGTATTTGCTGAGACCAATTATGTACGTAACTGGAACACCACACCTGTATAAGTCAACCGCCAGTTATCTAAAATACAGAGAAATAGATGAAAAGAAGCTTCCTTGTCACTTTTGCACTGTTTCATTCATACGAACATAGGGCTACCGCGCGAGGGGCACAGATAACAGAATACTACCGAAACATTTTGTGACACACGGACCATATAAACTAATATTTGTGGCAAGCCTCTTGTTTGTGGTTTTGTTTTGCTTTCGTTCACCTTGCCAAGCTCAGTGTCTTTAAAATCTGCATGGTGTCATCCAGTAAAACAGTATTGTGTACTACACGAAGCTTAGCCGCACTCACTGTTGCAGAACCCTCTTCGAACAGCGTCACATGCGTTACGCAAGAGACAGCTGTCGATGCTGGTGTACATAATACCAGCACCCAAAAGCATTGGGAATTGGAAAACACGGGTCCTTACCTGTGGATTTAACGAGAATAACTTCATTCGGTTGATCACAGTTTAATGTACTACATTTACGGACTATGCTCTGGGTCCGATAGTTCTAGGATAACTTCACTACGAATTGTAGATAGATACGCATTATGAAAATCTTGGTGTATTTGGATCCCTCTCATCCGTCTCGCTTGATATTACGAGGGTAGTCCAAAAATTATGTTAAAATTGTCAGATGAGAAATCGGGTTTGGGTTAAATGTTCGGGCCTCTTCTATTTCCGATCAAGCTTTTTCAAGCTAGCCAACTATTGCTATATTATTTCGGGAAAGTTTTAATACGTACGCATGCACTTATGCGTGCTGCATGACTTGGCCCGAATTGGTCGCGTTACTCCTGTTTTCTTCAGTACTCTATTCTGTCTGCGGACAGCAGTGCATAAGAATGAGATTTTCTACAATTTACAAACGTTTCATGGTGAAAACCAAACATGTTTCCAATTGTAAAGTTTTTAAAGATCTCGGTAATTGACAACACAGCCCGCAGTCAAAATGATCGCATGTTGGAAAATGCGGTTCAACCCGTACTACTAGCTCGGATGCTCGAGTTCGATGTTTCCACACAACGCAACGGTGACCAATCATCACTATTCGGGGATTATTAATAATAACAATAATAATAATCATTCAACTGTGACACCCGTGCCTAGCTGCCATGCAACCCGAAGGAAGCACGAGGGCTGGGATACTGCCAGGTTGTGCAAGCCTAAACAGGGGAAGTCGAGAGGCAGAGGTTGGGTTGGACATATGGCGCTGTTTTGTGTGGGAACTGCTGTGCACCCCGCAGCGACGTACTACAACGTGCAGTGAAATATTTTGCCCCTGTCTCACTTCGTGTTTATGAAGTACATTTGACCTGATTCAAATAACCACTTTTACTCGACCAATTAGATAACTATTTTCAGAAAATTTCTACGCAGTTATGACGTGGTTGCTTGAAGACACCTCAGAAAGTCTGCGATGGGCTAAGTTGAATTTCACTTCTTTTTCGTAGTAACGGGGCTTCGATTGACTTATCCCATTTGCACACTTACGGAGCGTTTGTACACAACTTCGTTATTGTTGTGAATGAGGGTCATTGTAATGTTAATTCATCCTGTATACCAGGCGCTTCACTCCACTTGAACCCAATGACTCTAAAGCCGTCTTCCATAAACATTTTCCCTTGGACTCCAAATTGACATTTACAATGGTCACTAGCATTCGAGTGAGTTGTTGTTGCTGCTACAACTCGTGGGTAGGACTTATCTCTTTAGAATTCACACAGACTGCCATTTCTCATTTAGGGAATACCAATACACTACACCAGTTTGTATCTATCGAGATAGTATGAATAGGTTTTCTGCCTGAATGACAAATGCGCACTCTTTTTTCCAGCTCTTGGTAAAAAATGCCCTCGAAAGTAACCAAGTGGCTTGCTGCGTTCAAGCCGTCTTCTCCAGAAGCAGTCGAGGAGTTGGCCACATGGATGTACTCGAACGTCAAACTTTTGGAAGACCTGGAGGAAACATTTGAAAAATTGTCTTCATCTTTGGTTTCGGAAATTTGTCAAAGACTTTACGTTTTCTACAAGGCCAAGTCCGTCTCACTCCAGCGCTTCACAATATTCTTGCTGCCCTCACTGATGCATGCCTATTTATCTCACTTGGGTGATGAAGATAGTTCTTCAGGACGGAAGGGTTCCGCTTCACCCCCCGAGTCTCAGCAAAGTAGCATTATGACGAACCTCACTTCACTCGAATCTTGCCTCATCGGTATAAGTCGCCACTATATACTTATAAATTCACAAAACCCAAAACTGAGCAGTTCTCGACCCGAACCGGGTACATCTCTGCCACTCTTCACGGGACCTTCAATCTTTCATGATTCCCTTCCAAACTCCGAGTCCCCTTCTAGCGATAATGACACCTTCCCTTCATTTACAGTGCCCCTCGCCCGGTTCAGTGAATCTTCATTGGCGTATCTAATACAAGATTATTTAGATACCCTAAGCTCGGTAGACCTACTCGACTCAATGAGCACTCTCCTATCGCTACATTCTATGACTCGTTTCTGCGCAGTATGTGACCGCGTTGCTAGTCTTTCCCGACGGCCACGCATCATCGCCGGTCCTGGCCTACTCAGCGATTTTCTGGTCGGTCTAGATACAATTTTGTACAAACTAGATGACTTGGATAGACGCACTGATAGCGTCAGACGTACCAGCTTAACAATACGTACTGCCGTATGGGATGCTATCAAGCAGATTGAGAAGCGAGCTGCATTCAACTGTCTGTCTGCCCCGTTGCTGATCTGTCGTGCCATTTTGCACGGCCGTGGTGCCCAATATGGACCAAGAGCAGTTCCGGGCATGCGTTTGGGCGCTGGTTCCAGTGCTTTTGTTGATATTGGTGTGCTGTTAGCTTCGGCCGATGATCGTGGTGCGCTGAATGGACCAGTCGCTTCTGCCAATCTGGATCACTCACGTCCTTTGCGCCCACATCCATCGACGGGACTAGAGGTAATTACCAATGCGTCTTTCCGTCCTGAATCTCTGCCAGAAGACATCCCGATCAGTAACCATCCACCAAAACAAAAGTCTTCAGCAGATCCCGACCAGAACACAAATGCCTCCACGAAAAAATCACGAGCCGAAGTGTCGACCAACGGTAAGCCTAATGCCACTGACAGTCGGCAGCGTACCGGCACGCAGAAACAGTCTAAGGGTGGTGTCAACTTCATCTCGCCCACAGCACCTACAAAGAAAACTACCTCAGAATAGAACGATCAGCCCATTGCTTCAGTTTCTAATACCCCCCGCTATCCCTGCGGCCAGCCACTGCTTTGCTAGGATTGTCTTTCACTATCTTTTTGTATACCCCTGTTTTTCATCTGCATATTTCGGTCGCTCGCTTTGTCCCCTTGCTCAGGCGCAGTGCAACACGCAAAGTGAAATCAAAACAGTGACTTCCTTGTTTTTTCCACTCAGATGACCCGAAGTGTATGTGGCGCCTATATTATGCTTTTTCACCCTCCGAATACATATGATTCACTAGCTGTCGTTCATTCATTCTCATACTGTTCTAAAAGGGATTGGGATTGTAGACAAACTCTCTGTGTGTAATCTTCCACAGCTATAGCTTATAGGAAATTGGAATTATCTTTTTACCTTCTTGAGAACTCCAGTCATTGCTCTTCAGTTCTGAAGGCTGAGGGGGTCGAGATGGCTAAGTGGTTAGAGCGCGCATTTACTGACCGGAAGGTCCGTAGTTCGAACCCCGCCTCTGCCTCTCGTCTTCACCTGTCTATGGGTAGGTAACCTGACAGTGTCCCAGCCCTCGTGCTAGTGATGACCGTCTGGCAGTCAGTTGACTGTCAAATGCTGAGAGCCAGTGTAACTTGCCTACATGGGGGCCGATCAGGGGGGGTTCTGCCGCTACTGCAAGGCCATATGCGTCAGAATACTTTATCTACCATGTTCCCTTTCTGCACCGCAAACGTACTCAAGGATGTGCAGACATGATGGTAGATATATTTGCCACGTTTGCTTCCTGTCCGTATTCAGCGGCGATTTACACATCCTGCAGAGGGTCCGTGTAAATGTTCTCATTTTTAAACCAAGATGGAATCCGAGGGGTTATTTTCCTTCGAATACTATAAAACTACTCGACAAGGTAACCCCCCCCCTGGGAGTGCAGCAGTCATCTCCCTATTCCCTCAACCGAATTCGCCTAATCAGTTTGACAGCTCTTCTACCACCACTTACAGCCTTGACCAGTCAGACAAAGTATCTGGTTTCATGCCACTGTCAAACCTTAAAGGTCCCATATAAATCCACACTCCATCACAACGTAGACCATAAATATATACGCGTACACACAGAAGAAACAGAACTCAGCAGCACAGCGCGTCTCAACTGCATGCCGCATCGTTTCTTGGATCTAGCGTCAGCAAACTCGGGCTACGGATAACAAGGAGCAATTGTGGCTATAATAGTACACTTCCTACATCCGATCTATTCACTCAACCTCACCAAGAACGGTTCATTTTTTAACATTGTATTTATATTCTCAAGGTGCATCCAGCTTGTAGCCCATTTAATCGCAGGACCCAAACTTTATTAGTGTCCCTTTTAATGTGTTTGAGCTCAATGTCTATTAACTAGAGCACTAATAGGAGAAACAAAATATCTCCCAGTGCTGGATTCCTCTTCGAGGGTTTGTGGTTAGCTGAACTGAATTAGTTTGCTAGTGCTCTGGCTGTGAGTGGTCAAATGAAGACTCAGAAGGTAGTATGCACTACTGAACAGCTTATACTGTACAATGCAATAATGTGTAGTGCACCTTATGTAGTATACATACAATGCCCAAATGGAATAAGTCCAAGGTAGACTTATCGTTTGAGCGTAGCTCGTAACAGTTCTTGACACAGAAGGTGTTTTCTGCGCAACTACAGTTGGTCCACCTGTCTGTGCTGCATCGAGTTGCATGTGTATTCATTGTACATGTAGTAAGCACGCTATGGAAGCACCAGGGAACAGTGATTCTCCGAAGACACATGCTCACGACAATTTCTGTGGATGAAAAACAGAAACAAAGCTCATGAGCCGAAGCCCAGTAAGCAAGGCTGTACATCAATGTATATCGCTTACATATGAATCAATCAGACTGGTAGACACCGTATACTACATACGCAATGTGGGGACATACTATGTACGGCCATTCTAGCTTGACGGTTGCGTAAAACAAAAAACAACATGACCTGATGTGGGTCGAGGTCGCAACCATGGCACATGATGTGGGTGGTAGCATCGTAAGCGAAATTGACGGCGAATTATACATACTCACATGATTCTCGTTTGAACAACCGTCCTGTCCTGACAATCATTCTGGTGAGTCCATAGCTAGAGGGGTCGAGTATTGAACTCGACTTTCGCTCTTATTAGAGCGGATCAGCAGTGAACATTCAACGACCGTGCCGGGGTTTGAACTCAGCACATTTGACATACGAGGCGAGCGTGTTACCACTGCTCCACCAGCGCACGCTGACCTCATCCGAATTTTTTTCTCATACGTCTTAACAGGTGAATATGTTCGCGCTTAAGTGATGTGATCGGAATGCCTGAATCCTCTAATGGTGACACGGTAACATACCTTAGCTGCGTCGATCGATTGGCCCGCCAGTAAGGCGTCCAAGTCATGTAGCCCTACAGACGCTTGAGGCCTACTGAGTTCAAACCCCGGCACGGTCGTTGAACGTGCACTGCTGATGAGCTCTATTAGGAGCGAAACTCGACCCCAATACTTCTCCCCCCTTTATTATGGACTCGCCAGAATGATTGTATCAAGACAGGAGGACGATTGTTCGGACGAGAGTCATGTGAGTATGTATTCTACGAAGTTCCGCAACCACCAACACCTGAAATTAGAAGTGTACCTGTACTGAGCGAAGTGGTCGGAAAGGTAATTAAGCAAAACGGAACTGGTACAAGTTCTCAGTAGCTCAGTGAGTCGGTGAATGATTCAGTCAACTTATGGCACGTGAGATTCACATGGTATTCCGGAATTCGCCTTGCTAGAAAACTATTGGTCGTTGTGAAGTCTGTCTGTCCCATTTCACGTCCCGATTCTGCCTTCTGTTCCCCACAGAATTGTCGGAATTTGCAGTGTTCCCGGTATGTGAATGAGGGGAACGCTTCCAGATTAGTATGCTGGGATTTCCCTGGGTGTGACAACCCGAAGCTGCTTACAGTTGCCCGAACTGCAGAGCCACTCGTCTTCATTTGAACAAATCACCATTTGTCCACTGTCACAGAAACAAGACCCGATGTGACTACCCAACAACGGTCGGACTTCATTGTTTTAAAGTGCGATTGATGTTTATTACGTGGTCTACCATGGCAGTTTGTTGCCAAAATGTAACATGGCACAAAAACGCTGTCAGGCTGAGCCAATTGACTTGCTGATTCACGATTTGGGATGCATAATGGAGGTAGTGAGCAAATGTCCTTTGTTCAGCAAACAGTTGTTCTTTTGGGCGGGTGTTTTCCGCCCTGTTGGTTGTTTATTTTCCTTGCCCGGTTTTGAGATCTCAAGGATGAAACTATGGAGAATTCAAAGATGTCCCTCAACTCCGTCCATCCCTTATTGTTGGGTTCACTGTACATTGTTCACTTTTGTGCTGTGTTCTACACCATGAAGATTATCATAGAATTTGTTCATAGCCACACCATTCTCGTTTGAACGGCCGTGTTCCTGTCCTGGCGTAATTATTCAGGTGAGTTCACACCAAAAGGAAGCACTGGTTTCGAGTTTCGCTCTTATTAGAGCTCATCAGCAGTGCATATCTAATGGCCGTGCCGGGATTTGAACCCCGGACATCTGACATGCGAGGCGAGCGTGTAACCACTACTCCACCAACGCACGTTGGACGCATCTGAATTATCACGTCTGAACAGGCGAAACGTGTTCACACTCCAATTATCACGGTATTCGTCCAAAGGCACTTTAGCGCGCTCCTCCTCCAGGAGGATTCCCAAAGCCTTTACTTAGAGTGCTTTCAACCGACTAGGTGCTGACAGACCAGAACAGTCAAGGGTGACTGACGCGCATCAAGGGTTGATAAGTTCGTCAACTCATTGTGTAGAAAGTTACTTGGTTGAGTGATTGATACTGTAGGTGCATAAATGACGATTGTGGTTGTACCTTAAATCTTTAGTTGAATTTCACCATGTCTCAGATACTGTTAAAGAGAGTCGCACAATAAATGGTAGGCCTGCTCACCATATCTATATTTTGGGGACTACAACTTGGGTGAAAAGCATGTCATCTTGGGACGACAATTGTCAATTTTCCTTCGGTTGGTGAGAATTGACCTATTGGCATACAATCAAAGGTGCCTATGATTCCTCAACATTATAAGGCACAGTTATAGCATAACCACTCCATGGGGCAGATACTTTTGTCACTGGCACCACGAGAATTCGACATGTTTTAAAACTTTTTCGTTGGTAACTCCTACTTATATTTCAACGATTACCAACCAAACACCGTGGGAGCGCATTATTATCAGAAATCAGCATCGAAAGAGCATATCTTCTCATGGCTGATCTGCTTGCCATCCCTTAATTACTGATCATCAAGTAATACAGAATCAGGAAGGTAGCCAACTTGAATATTACTGAGCAATCCAGCAGTGCTTATTAAGAATGGCTCTCGGTAAAAATGATTGATTTTACTATCCCTACCTGAGGCGTTTCAAACGGGGCTAAACCAGTGGTAAGTTCTCCATGAATTTCGAAAGATTTCATCACACTTCCTATAAAAGCTCCACTTCTATATCGGAACAATCCCCCATTCCTTGGCTTTATCTTCCCCTTCGATTGCTGTGCGAATTCTTGACAAAAGTGATGTTTGCTTCGTATTCTAAGTTACCTTGGCGCTGGAGGTACCGTCCGATTCAACGGGGCAGGTTAGAGGCCGTTTGAGTTGTTTCCAAGCTTGATGTGATGTTGCCCCGTACCTTTATATGGCTCTATCAGCTCGCTTTGGCAGTACTCCAGGGCATCCAAACTGACAAGTTGTACGTTAGGTTTGTTTAAACGGTATAAAAGCTGCCGTCTCGTGTGAAGTGATCTCAGACTGCTGTGTGGTACCCACAAGTGCTCTCAATTGCCTACCAATTTGGTTCTCATGAGAGACTGCTAAAGCTTGATGTTGCCCCGTACCTTTATATGGCTCTATCAGCTCGCTTTGGCAGTACTCCAGGGCATCCAAACTGACA